TACATGTCAGGCATATTCTTGGAACTCTTAAGGATATTTTGCTAGAAATTTTTAGACTTAATTTGTATTCTGGCGAGGTTTTAAAAATAATGACCTGGGCTGGGTTATAGCTCAGTAGTAGAGCACTTGCCTCGAACATGTGAGGCACTGGGTTCAATCTCAGCCCCACATAAAAGAAAGTAAATAAAATAAAGGTATTGTGTCTATCTACAATTAAATATGTGTGTGTGTGTTTGTGTGTATAAAATGACTAATAAAGGAAATTATTTAAAAAAGAAGAAAAAGAATGACCTGATTTTTCAGAGTAAACAAGTACAAATAAGCAAGTTATAAAAGAAGAAAAAGAAATTATGCCAATGGTAATAACACACACAGTGATACTCTAGTGTATTAATTCATATGTAGGCTTGTACTTGGCACAAAGCGAGCCCTTAAATGTTAGCAACTTTTTTTATTTATATGTGGTGCTGAGAATTGAATCCAGTGCCTCACGCATTTTAGGCAAGCCCTCTACCATTGAGCCACAACCCCAGCCTGTTAGTTACTGTTGTTATGTTTACACTTATTAAATGTTTTTATAAGGCTATTTAAAAATTTTTTTTAGTTGTAGAGGGACTTAATACCTTTATTTTGTTTATTTTTATGTGGTGCTGAGGATTGAACCCAGTGCTTCACTTATGCTAGGCAAGAGCTCCATCACTGAGCCACAACCCCAGCCCCATATAAGACTATTCTTGGCTGCGTTTTTTTGTAACAATTTTATTTTCTGTTGGTTGTATAAAATTAAGTTATGAGCTGGGGATGTAGCTCAGTGTTGGAGTGCTTCCCTAGCATGTACAAGGTTCTGAATTGAATCAACTCAGTGCCATACACAATCAAAAGTAAGTTATGAGCTGGGTGTAGTGGTGTGCACCTGTAATTCCAGCAACTTGGGATGCTGAGGCAGGAGGACTGCAAGTTTGAGGCCAGCCTCAATAATTTAGTGAGACCCTAAGCAATTTAATAAAAAGGGCCCCTGGATTCAATCCGTAGTACAAAGAAAAAAGTTTCGATAGTTTTACAATGAAAAGAATGTATAACTATATTTAAAGATAGGTACTTATTATTTAAAAAAGAAGAAAAAGAATGACCTGGTACTTTATGTATTGACACAGAAAAGCATTTAATAATGTTTTGTTGAATGACAATGGCAGAACAAAATATATTGTGCAATTTAGCTTTTAAAAGGAAGAAAGTCCATAAAAAACAACACCCTCATAAGCGTTTCATGTAGACTTAACGACTACATAATTTTAATATTTTATTTCCTATGCGTTTTTAATTGATATATACTTGGGCCAGGGGTGGGGGCAGGGAGGGATGTAGTTTGGTTATAGAGCATGTGTTTTGTTTGCATGGATGAGGCACTGGGTTTGATCCCCAACACTGCAAAAATAAACAAAAATATATAATTTACATAGTTTGAAATGTTATTTAACAATGTTATGGACATTTTCTTATTAGATGTTTTCTAGTATGTTTTATTTCTGACATAACTTAATTATTACTGTTTTACTGGATCTTAAGATTGTTAAATTTTCATTATCGGGCTGGGGTTGTGGCTCAGCGGTAGAGCGCTCACCTAGCATGTGTGATGCACTGGGTTCGATCCTCAGCAGCACATAAAAACAAACAAAATAAAGGTATTGTGTACAACTAAATAAATATTTTAAAAAATTTATTATCTCAAATGACTGTTTATTCCCAAATGTATTCTGTGGGTGTGGACCCAGTGTTTTTTTTTTGGTACCAGAGATTGGGGCTAGAGGCACTTAACTTTGAGCTACATTCCCAGCCTACCTGCCCCCGCTTTTTTTAAAAAATACTTTTTTTTAATATATTTAATGCTGAGTATCCAACCCAGTGCCTCATGTGTGCTAAGCAAGAGCTATACCACTGAGCTACAACCCCAGGCCCCAGCCCTAGCCCTTTTGATTTTTTTTTATTTTGAGACAGGGTCTCACTAATTTGCTTAAAATTGCTAAGTTGCTTAGCAATTGCTAAGTTGCTGAGGCTGGCTTTGAATTTGAGATCCTCCTGTCTCATTCTCCTGTTTACAGGCGTGCACAACCACGCCTAGCTTGGGCCCAGTCTGTGTTTGATAGATATATATGGAAACCCCTAGTGATGTAATATGCTTCTAGGATATTCTCTAGTTGTAAGATCTGGCAGACAAAAACATAATGTATTATGGGACCTCCACACTGATAGAGGATTTATATTCATGTAGTTTGTTAGAATGAAACCAAACATTAAGGCTGTCCAAATCAAAGGAAATTTAGTAGATTATAGTATATTTTTAGTTTTCCATGGTTAGGCCAGAATTGCACTCTTTTTTTAAAAAATATATTTATTTATTTTTATGTAGTGCTGAGGATTGAACCCAGTGCCTCACACATATAAAGCAAGTGCTCTACCACTAAACTACAACCTTAGCCCCAGAATTGCACTGTTTTTTTAGAAGGGTTGGAAGCCGACTATAGTTTGGCAAGTTCACTCATTCTCCAGGTAGGCTTTTTGACAGATTCTATATTTTTTATTACCACCGCCAACAATAATCTACCAGAAAAAGCTCATATTTGTTGAGTCCATTCTGTGTACCAGGTACTGTTCTAAGGAGCTTACATAGATTATCTCATTTGTTCTTCATACTAATCATATTAGGGGGTACTGAATTACATGATAGCTTAAATGCTATTCTATGAAAATACATTACTGAGTAGTAATTAGAATGAATTGGATTTTTTCATTTGGTTCTTTATAAGCAAGGTAAACAGATAAGGTAGAAGGTACTATTTTTGGCTCTTAACTTTCTGGCTTCATCTTCATCTTCTGTTATACTGTTTTGGTTGGCACATTTTCTTGTTTTTGGTTATGTTTGACTTGTGTACTCCTGTGAATCACTTCTGACAGACACTTTTCATTCAGTCTTGGCCTTCTAGCATTTATTGAGTAACAATTTTATATGTCCCTGTAACCATATTTTTCAAGCTATTTTATATTTTTGTGATTTTTACTTTTCTTTTACCTTTATTCTGAAAATTTTGAAGGGGGGAGGGACTTTTGTCTTTTTGAGCCTTTGTGTACCTTCTCTTCTGTTGTTAATAAATGAACTGTTTATATGCCTAAGACCTTGTGCACTGGATTCCATCTCATCTTGCCTTCAATGTTCCATTAATTATTCCAGCAGTTGTTACTTTTCCATTCTATATCATCAGTTTTTACATTTTACTGGATCATTCCCAGGAGCATACAGATATGCTGAAATGGTTTCTATCCTGAGGAGAAAAGTATTTCTTTATTCTACATAGTCCTTGAATTATTTTCTTCCAGCTACTTATTTCCTGTTTCCAGTAAAGCCTATCTTAAAGAGTTGTCTGTACGTATTTGGAATTTGCAATTTATCTACTTTTATTATTTCTTTTTAAAATTTTTAGTTGTATGTGGACACAATACCTTTATTTATTTTCATGTGGTACTGAGTATCAAATGCTTTACGTCTGAGTCACAACCCCAGCCCCTACTCTCATTTCTTGATCTCGCTCAGAGTTGTCTTCTGTGACTGTTGTTGTGCCAAAATAACTGTGTTCAAGATCACCAATAATCTTTTGTTTCTCTAGTTCTCATGCTATCAGAATCATGTGACAGAGTGAACTATTCAAGAATGCACAAGAAAATAAACAGTATGTCAAATGGCAATGGAGGAAAAAAAAAAGACAAAAAAGGTGGCAAACTGAGTGATTGCTAGTTTTATACAGGGTGATATTTAAAGAATTAAAACTGGATAACATAGAGCAGGGGTGGACAGGGAAGAGAAGAGGTCTCAGAAATGAGATACTCCAAAATTTAGATGGATGTCTAATAATTTTATTGGCTTCCAGATCAACACTGTTCTTCCTGCCTTATTAACAGGCCCCTGCTTACTACTTGACCTCCATCGAAACTACATTGACCTCCATTGAACTGTCTAAAACGTGTATTCATTTCCTTCTTTATCTCCTTTGGCCTCATTGTTATTTAAGGATAAGCTATTTGATGTCTCTCAGGTCATTTTATTCTTGTTTCAGATTAATTTTTTTTTTCTTCTCAGATTCAGTTGAAGCTCTCTGTAGCTCTGTATATTGCACCCTCAAATTTCCTTCCTTTCTTTTCCAGTGTTAATCATTATCTGAAGTTTGCTAAATACCATTTTTATCTACATTTTAATACTGGGTATAAACATGCATTTATCTGTAAGCAGTATATAATTATTTTTGCATGTTTTAAGGCATTATAGAAATAGTATCACATTGGATGTCCCATAACAAGCTTTTTTTTTTTTTAAACATTTTTAAATTTTTATGTGGTACTAAGGATCGAACCCAGTGCCTCAGGCATGCCACGCGAGCGCTACCACTTGAGCCACATCCCCAGCCCCAACAAGCTTTTTTTGTTTAACATTGCTTTTGAGATTTATTCATTCTTAGTAATACTGTTTGTGTTAGCTGCTGTTTAATATTTTGTTGGATAAATAGATCATAATTTAGTTACCTGTTTTTCTGATTTTAGTCATTTAGGTTATTCCCAATTTCCACTATATTTTATCTTTTTGATTTTGCTTTTTTTTCTTTGATTAGTCTGTATTAAGTTGTTTCCATGCTTTGGAGGATTATCTGTGACTCTGCATACTTTGGGTTTATGTAGAGCATATACCTATAAGTGTAATGATATCAATAAGTAAAATTTCTCATCTTGAAATATATATACTCATACATTATTTATCAATAAGTAAAATTACTCATCTTTGAAGGATATACTCATTTGTATACTTATTGAATAGATGTTGCCAAAATGCTCTTCTAATTGGTTGCATTTTAAAAAATATTTATACCATTAGAGCATGAAAATTCCTGCTTCTTTCCATTCTGATTCTTGACATTAGATTTTTTATAAAGATTTCTCCTTTTATGACTCACCTGTTTTTAAATTGGGTGTTTTCATGAATTTGTGTCATCCTTGGCCCAGGGGCCTTGCTAATCTCTATTATCATTTCAATTTTAGTATATGTGCTGCCAAAGTGAGCACAAGATTTTTTTTTTTTAATGTTTTGTAACCAGGCATGGTGGTGCGTTCCTATAATCCCAGCTACTTGGGAGGCTGACACAAGAGGATAGGAAAGTTTGAAACCAAGCTGGCCACCTTGAAACCCTGTCTCAAAATTTTTAGAGGGCTGGGGATGCAGGTCAGTTGTAGAGTACACCTGGGTTTAGTGTTTAGTACCACAGGGGGTAAAAAATAATTCTTTATAAATTTTCATACCATTCCTTTGTTGGTTATAGGAATTGCAAGTATATATTCTTTTAAGTCTGTAACATCTTTTCCATTTGCTTATACCCTCTTAAAATTTAATTGGAGTTAGGATATTTACTTTATTATTTTCTTCTAAAAGTGTTAGAGTTTTGCTTTTTTATATGTAGGTGGGGACCTAATTTTATTAATGTTTTAAAAACATATGGACAATCAGTTATCTAAGCATAACTTTAAACAATCTTATTACCCTAGGATTACCATGATTTCTGTTTAAAAAAAAAAAATCCAGATAGGTTTTCTCATGTGTGAGAGAATCAAGGATATTATGTAGATACTTGTAACAAAACAAATTTCTACTAATTTTTAATGAAAACTTTATGAAGTTCAAAATAAAGTGCCATTTTGTGAAAATTATGGAATTATTTTTACTGTGATAACCTTTTGCTTTATTGGGGTTTAAAGTTGTTGTTCCCTGTCATCAAAATAGATTGCAAATATTAGTCCATTAATACTGATTTGTAATGAGATTTTTTTATATATTTCTTTGAAAGATCTTTCCCTACAGATAGGCACTGCTGACCTCAGTCCTTGAAAATATGACTATAATTGTTATGTCTGTAAGGATCAATGACACTACGGGTTCCGTTATCATGTAGTAGAATCAAATATTTTCTACAAAGTACTACTGATCAATAAGACGATGAATAACTATAGGCATTAAAACACCTCATGTTTTCAGAGGCTCTCTAAATTTGTTGAATTAAACCTTTTTTATACTCCACATATTTTTAGCAGCATCAATGGTAATACTTATTAGCAGATTACACTTTAAGCTGTGCTTCCCCCCCCCCCATTCCCTTTGAATATAGTTCTCCATATAATACACTATGTAGTTGCTCACATTCTGAGGCTAATTCTCCTTAAATAAATAACAGCATTGGTAACATCTGTTGACATATCAAATGACAAAAATCTTAAAATCATTTGGCTTGCTTTTTTTTTTTTAAATTTATAGTTGTAGATGGACAGAATGCCTTTATTTTATTTGTTTATTTTTATGTAGTGCTAGGATCAAACACAGTGCTAGGTAAGCGCTCTGCCACTGAACTACAGCCTTAGCCTGCCTTGCTTTTTTAATTCACTATTTATCTTGCCACAATGTCTTCAGCTATGAGTACTAGTTCTCACAGAAAGGTTAATAGTTTCATGCAGTTATTTCCTGGATGAATTTATTTGCTTGCTGCAAAAATGATCTAACTCCCCATTGGTAAATAGCTTCCATTTCTTGGTCTACAAATGAACCCTCAGAAACTGCCGTTCACTTTCATGTTTCTGAAGAAATTCTATAGTGATATAACACTTTGTTTTAAATTTTCTAATTATTTACTGTGACTTGGGAATATTATGATTAGTACTTAGTCTTAGACCTCATCATAACATGACACAATGTTTTGCCATATAGTTTGATGACAAAATCCACACTTCCCTCTGCCTTGAAAGGGACATTTGAATTCTACTTTTCTTTCTTTCTTTGGACATGATAATTATGTACTCATTTAAAAGAAAGTTGTAGTACATTGATACATGTGACACTCAAAATGCTGACCTCAAAATTTATATAAGTGCATTGCTACTATTTGTAGGGTATCAACAGCAGTACAAAGCGTGAGACTGCCACATAAGTTCTCTGTCACAACTACTAAACTCTTCCACTGTAGCATAAAAGCAGCCACACAGCATTCATATAAATAAGTGTGGCTATGTATGTTTCAACAAAACTTTATGAACATTGAAATTTGAGTTTCATGGATCTCAAATTATTCTAAAAACTAAAAGTATTTTCAAAAATGAAAAATGTGGCAGTGGTCTGTAATCCTAGTAACTGAGTGTGAGGCAGGAAAATCACAAGTTGTCTCAGCAACTTAACAAGGGCCTGTCTCAAAATTAGAAAGCGCTGGCGTTTATTCAGTGGTAGAAAACCCATGTTCAAACGCCATTATCCAACCACAACAAAAAAAGAAATGTAAAAATAATTGTTAATATGCTGACCGTAAATCATAATTTGACATCCTTTCCCTCCAGTATGCAACTCTGTCATACATATGTTAGGTTTTCTATATATGAATGGATCATTTTTCAGGGCCTTTTAAAAAAAAATTTTGGCAGTACTGAGGATTGGACCCGCTGGCACTCTATCACTGAACTGTGTTCACAGCCCTTTTTTAAATTTTGAGAATCTTGCTAAATTGCCAAGGCTGGCCTCAAACTTGAAATCCTGCCTCAACCTCCCAAGTTGCTGTGATTATAGGTCTGCACCACTTCTTCTGGCTGAGGGATCTTTATTATGTTCCATTTTATTGATTTTTTTAAATTTTTTTAAAATACACAACAGCGGAATGCATTACAATTCTTATTACACATATGGAGCACAATTTTTCATATCTTTGAATATAAAGTATGTTCACGTCAATACATGTCTTTATACATGTACTTTGGGGTTTTTTTGCATTACAATTCTTATTACACATATATACCAAATTTTTCATATCTTTGTTTATATATAAAGTATGTTGACAACCAATTCGAGTCTTGGATAATGATGTCCATCACATTCCACTATCCTTGCTAATCCCCTGCCCCCTCTCTTTCCCTCCCACCCCTCTTCCCTATCTAGAATTTATCTAATCCTCCCATGCTCCCCTCCCTACCCCACTATTATTTCTTAAAAATTAATTTTGCAGAAAGGGCTTGTCAAATGTGAATGGACTAAAAAAAGTACCGTCTTACTATTTTACTTCATACAAATCTTAAGTTCTAGTTGATTATGTTGCTAAAATCAATAATTAATTTTTATTAACTGGGTATTTTATGATAAAATTTAGATATAACTTCCATCTCCTTTTTAAAATACATCCCAATTTTTTGATAAACTAATAATTAATATTTATAGTTTAAAAAATACTGTTCATACTGAGACATGTAAGTCTACTATAATTATATTTTATTTGTTGAACAACATTGTTTTCTCCAGAGTTAAATATTGCCTTATTTAAGAAATACTTTTATCAAAATATTCATATACTATACATTCAGTCTAGGATTTAGTATAATTATAGAGTTGTACACCTATCATCACAACTTTGGACAATTTCATTACCTCAGTAAGAAACCCTGTGCCCCTTGGCTGCCAGGATTGTTGATACTTCCATCCTGATCATAGCCAAAGGCAACCACAGATCTGTTTTCCATCTCTCCCGATTTCTCTCTCCTGAACATTTCATGTAAATGGAATCAAATTCATGTGATTATTTGTGATTGGATTCTTTAACTTAGATAATGTGTTCAAGGTATGAATATGTCATGTTTTATTTATGCGTTGTTCAGTTGATGGACATTTTTAGCCATTATGAATAATGCTACTATGAACATTGATGTAAAGATATTTGTGTGGTTATGTTTTTACTTCTGTTGGGTGTAGAAATAGGAGTAGACCCTATGGTAATTCTGTTTAGCCATTGAAGAGACCTGTCAAACTATTTTCCAAAGTGTGCCATTTTATATTCCTACTGGCAATGCATGAAGATTCCAATTTTTCTATAGTCTACCAACACTTATTATCTTATTGATTATAGCCCTCCTAGTGAGTGTGAAGTAGTATCTCCTTGTGGTTTTGATACACTTTTTCCTAGAGGCTAATGCTGTTGACCCATCTTTTCATGTGTTTATTGGCCATCATTGTATATATTTTTTTTGGGGAAAATGTCTGTTTAAATCCTTCATCTTTCATTTTTTATTGTAGTAATAGTTTTTGTTATGTTCTAGATACATGTCTCAAATAAATGATTGGCAAAATTTTCTCTTGCTGGTTCTTCTTTTCACTGTCATTTTGATGTCCTTTGAAGCATAAAGTTTTTTATTTTGATGATGTCTGGTTTTTCTTTTGTTGCTTGTGCTTTTTTTTTTTAGTACCAGGAATTGACCCAGGGATGCTTAAGACTGAGCTGTATCCTCAGCTCTTTTATTTTGAGGCAAGGTCTCACTAAGCTGCCTAGGGCCTTGTTATATTGCTGAAGCTGGCTTTGAACTTGCAATCCTCTTGCCTTAGGCTTTTAAGCTGCTGGGATTATAGGTGTGATCCACCATACCCAACACTATTTGCTTGTGCTTTTGGTAAAAATGTTTTATTTTTGTTTAGTGTCCTTTGTGATCTAACATTAATTCTGCTACAATTTTCTGCCAGAGCTTTTTTCCTCTGTGATCACCTCAGGCAGTAATGGAATGCGTTTTCTTCAGTCCTAAGAAATTTTCTTGGAGGAAAAGAAAATTTATTTATTTTGCAAATTCTTCCTTTCTATTTTCTTCTGCCACCCCATATCTATCTACCTATCTACATCTACATATCTTTTGGTCATTTGAAACTGTTATACAATATGGTGGATTGCTGGCTCAACATGGAGGTATTTTGCTATACCACCTCTAATTTTTTCCCTACTACTTCTATCCACAAAAGGAGTAACATCTGATTAGCGAGAATGGTGGAATGACCTAGGATTTCAACTTATTATGTTAATTTCTCCTCTTTAGGCTATAGGCAGCCAGTATTTTACATGTTTTTAGCAAGTGCAGTAAGCTAACTTGTAGGACAAGCTCTGCTTTTTGGTGAGTATAGTTTACTGGAAAATTTGAATTCACAGAGTGTTTAGCAAGCCCTTTTCAGACTACTACTAAGTCATATTCTTCAATCTAACTTTTGTCAAAGATAACACTGACGTTTT